TGCTTATCCTTATACAGTTTATCAAATTAAGGTCAGCTTTGGTCACATCGAATGAAAACTTCCTAACCTTTTTGTTTTCATCTTTTATAGGTTGTCCTTACCCGACACTCTATGTTTGGACATTATAAGACAAGTATAAGCATCTCCTTTGATTAATTCGGCCAAACATATTTCAATTTGATCGTAATACTCGTCATTAATGGTATGAATATCAAAAGTTGGGTTTCTATAATAAGTCCCTTGTTAGAAATTTTTTTTTTTGCTCTTCTTCTCTTATCAATCGTTCATACCTAATCACGTTTGCACTTAGTTGAAAAATATCAGGAAATTCCCCGTCTCGAAATTTCTTTTTCAAATTAAAGTTTAGGCAACTTTGAGAGATTTTGACAAACTCTTTTTTGAGGAAAGGCACAAAACATTTACTTCTTGCTCTCTTGAATCTTTGAAGGAAACTTTCTGCCCATTCGCTTGGCATTTGACGTAGATTCGCCAAATCGGCCAAGGTAACTTCAAACTCAGTATTATAAAACTCAGCATAGAACAATTGTTTCAGTTGTTGCCATGTTTGAATAGAGTTCGCTGGCAAATTAATAAACCAGGAGAAATCTACTCCTGTTAATGAACTAAGGAACAACCTCATTTTATGATATTTAGTTACTTTACCACTTTGTAGTGTGAGTCGCCCTATATGTTCTAGAGTAGACACTTCTACTAAACTAGTGAATAATGAGAATTCTGGACTTTATACCCTCTAGGTCATGGATATGCTTGGTCCACCCAATCAGGATATGGCTTTGTGTAAGTCGACCTAATGATAGGGCGTACCCCAAAAGTCATTTGATCTTGTGCTTTTTCCATAATTTGATTCCTCAACATGACGTTGAGATCATATGGAATTCCTACAGGTTGGTTGACCGGTTGAGTTGCCTGAGGCCTAAAGTTGTCATTGTTTGGGTCATTGTTACCGTTAGCCTGAGTATTTATTCCATCATTAACACGTGGAGCATTCTGTCCATTATTCAAGACATTGTCTCTTATATTTAGGTTACCTCCTAGGTTTGACGTATCATTACCACTATTCAAGTTTGGCACTACACCGCCCCTAGTTTGAAGTAGACGGACCAAAAGGTGGTGCTATCCCTTGATTCGGACTCAGGACTGGGGGATTATGTCCCACAATCGTCCTAGTTTGAAAGTGGTTTGCAATAGGCACAACTGGCTAACACATTTAGCCTACTAACTTGTTTATTATTTCGTTTAATATATTTAGTTGTTTGGCCATGCCGTCATAATGTGCATTCCCATTTTGGGTAAATATTTCCATATTATGAACATTTCATAGATTTACTTGTTCAACAATATCCTGTGTGAGTTCCCCAAGCAACGCAGGCATGGTTCGAGGACTCCACTCAATCATTGGTTCCTAATGACTGTGACTGCTCTGACTCTATCTCTCTGTTCATGGAGAGCTTTGCTGCTCCTTATATCGCTCGATCGCAGACTGGACTACTCCCTGACTTGCGGTTCCTTATCTGACTTATGAGGTATATTGTTTCACTTTTGTATCCTCAAATACCAAACAACAATATCCTACTAGACGTGCCAAATTGTTGGGCGCAGGTTGTCGCTAACAATTAAAAAAGGTTCAGACGATTGTGTAAGGTGTAGACTTCTTGAGACAAAGTCCCAAAAATGGGTGTTTTATTGGCGAATATTTACAATCGAAAATAAACAGAATGCCTCTAAGGGGCACAAGTACATGAGTACTAAAAGAAGTGTTTTAAAGTTAAATTAAGAAATTGAAATTACATATTCTCTGTTGAGAATGTTTGATTCGGAGTCCTTTCCTCTATGTCTTCTTTTTCTTTTTATACTCTCTTGATAATTTTTTCATGACAAATTGCTTGAAAACTATTTGATTGCTCTATAACTACCTACTTTCTTCATGATGACTGACTTGTCGTGGAACTGCCATCTCTAACTGTTGCCATTACTCAGTCGCTCAACCGCCTACAACTGGGATTCTTGGATCGTGGGGTGTGATAAGATTGCTCAATAACTGCTTCAATACTTGCTACTCTGGATAACCATCATATCTCATGTTTGCTAAGATCTTGGGCGATTCGAAAGTTTGGACGAGAGTGGGGTCATAACTCTTGGCAACCATAAGGCACTCTATTCGCTTAGATTCTGGGCGTCTTGCGATTTTGGGCGATGATATTACTTTATTCGTGGGCCTCCATTGCATTCATCAATTGTCCTATTTGGGCTTTATCCTGGACTTCTCAACTGGGATTTATCCCTTGGACTATTCAATTTGGGTTACATTTTTTGTATGTCAACAGACTCGTTAAAATTACGATATATTTTTGGGAAGATTACATATTCAAGAGTATAAGTTTAGTCTATTTCAAAAATAAAAATACAAGTTTAAAGTTACTAAAATCAAATTTTTTTTTAATTTTTTTAAATTTTTATTTATGAAATAATAAATTATTAAATTAATTTATTATTAAATATTTAATTATAATATAATATAATTAACCCATCACACCTTCACCACCCCTACCGCTCCGACGACCGTTCCGATCACCGCCCTACTCCAGCGACCTCTCCAACGACTACTCAGATTCCAGTAACCGTTCCGGCCACTGCTCTGGCTCCGATAACTCAGATCACAAGTCACAGTCCAGGTCACAACTCAGATCACAGTCCAATTCACAACTCATGTCACAGTCCAATTCACAAGTCACAGTCCAAGTCACAACTCAGGTCAAAGGTCACAGCCTAGGTCACAACTCGAGTTTTTGTTCACAAAACACAACACAGATTCAAACAACTACCGCCCGCACCTCACCACACCACCGGAC